ACACACACACACACACACACACACACACACACACACACACACACACAGGGACAGATGCTAGAGCAGCTAGAGTAACGTTTTACCCGAAATAAACTATAAATCTTAATAGTTTTTTAAAAAGATGTTATAAGCTTCGTTTGTACACGCTTATGCGATTGTGTACGTGCGCTTGTGTTGTTTTATTTATATTTTTAAAAGCTTCAGAAAAATATAAAAAAAAAAGAAGAAAAGTATTTTAAAGTTTAAAGATGAGTTGTTTGTTTTTGTTGTTTGTTTGATTTCTTTTTCTATTCGGTTTTTTTTGTTTTTTTTTATTTTTGTTTTAATATACTCGCAGGTTTTTCTTTTTGTAAGAATTTTTATTTTTCTATAAATAAATTTATTTTTTAATTATATTTAAATTATAGAGATTTAATTGCCGGTAGTTGAACAATATAAAGAATTGCATTTAATTATCATTAATTCATTTATTATGATTTTGTTATCGCATTTTAATGCCAGTAGGTGGAGAACACTTATATATATATATGTATTTATATAGATATATGTGTGTGTGTCTATCTCTTTAATGGCTGCTGGCATTTTAAGATTTTTGTTTTTGCTTTTTCAAGTGGTTTTTTTTTTTTTTTTTTTTTTATGAATTTTTGATTAAAATAAAAAAAAAACAATTTAACTTAAGTGATTTAATTTAAATATTACAAAGTGTGTAAGTAAATGAGCTGAGTAATTTAAATAATAACGTCCCGCTGTTTCTTCTCGAATAGAATTAATCGCAAATAATATTTGCGTCAATGATACTTTTATTCAAGTTGCGTATAGCAAAATTACATATGACGACGAAATTCCTAAACTCTGTTTCATTTCGATAGCCCTTGCGGGTACACACATAAAGGAGTTCCCATAAAATTGGAACTACGACATGGACTTTTACTTGATTGTTCCTATTTATGCGAGGTGTGATTTTATAACGCTGTTGTGGCTACAAGTCGTATGCTAGCATTTCCTTCGCATGACACAGTTTTCTAATATTATCCCGTTCTGTAGTTAGTTGTTATAGTCTTTTTCCTTTTTTTGTTTCCTCTTCCCTTTCCATTGCCTTTATTTTCTTGTTTTCTTATTGTTTTTCCTTTCTTTTCCTTTCTTTTCTTTTGTTTCCTTTTGGTTTTTTCTTTTCATTTTTTTCTTTTTCTCTTTTCTCTTTTCTCCTTTCATTTTTTTCTTTTTCTCTTTTCTCTTTTCTCTTTTCTTTTTTTCTTCTCTTTTCTTTTCTTTTCTTTTCTTTTCTTTTCTTTTCTTTTTTCCTTTTCTTTTCTTTTCTTCTCTTTTCTTTTCTTTCCTTTTCTTCTTTTTTCTTTTCTTTTTTGTGCTTTGTTTTTTTATTTTTTTTTATTTTCTCTTTTGTTATTTTCTTTCTATTCATTTTGTTCATTTTTTCTTTCTTTTCTCTTCTTTTGTTTTTCTTCATTTCTTTTCTATTCTTTTCTTTTGCCTTCTTTGTTTTTTTCTTTTCTCAATTTTTATACCCTACGCCACTTGTTAAACAAGAGTATATGAAGTTTACTCCTAGATAGATCCACCAAATGACTTTTTGAATTGTTCGTCTTGTTTCAGCTTAAGGACAAAGATTATGTAAAGTGGTTCCAGTCGAACCACTTTTTCGTCTACTCTTTACTTGAGCAACTGTATTAAGCAAAGTAGTGCGGGATATTTAATGGTGGGCCCTGCCTCATTATAGCGTTCACATTGTGTTTAATGTTTCACTCTTGCGTTCTGCACAGCACTAGAAGATATACCTACTTCTTCTTTCTTCTTCCTTCTTCCTGATGTTCATCAATGATTGTCTTTGCATGATAGAAAACCTTATTTATTTGCAGATGTCATTTATTTTCTCTCCGTAAGAGATCAGGCAACAAACGCCGGATAATGATGTCACATTGTATAGAGACCTGATAGCAAAGAGTAGAGTGGGGTCGGGCTAATAGGGCAAACTTTAATGATCGTGTCGTGGGAAAGGCTATCGATGGCCTGGAATTTTTAAAGCATTGCAAGAAAACCTTCACTGCAGCTAACATCCACATCGTTTACAACGCCTATAAAATTAGAGTATAACTCGCACCCCCCTTAGAGGCCCTCGACCGCGTAAAGGAAATGCTGGTGACAAGCGACGACAGCGTAGTGACGTAGTGTTTGTGTATAGATACGCCCAGAGTAGGGTTTACAGAGGTAAGAAAGATTTGTCCAACAATTGAATCGTTTAGCAGGACTACGTGCTTTTCTCGGTACACCCATCTCTGCATAGCGTATGACTCGTCGCTTTTTAACCGTACTGCCCGCCTTTGGCATAAGCTATCAAGAGTAATCTCTTCTATCGTGCCTGAACGTACACAAATACTACCCGCTTCCATCCCTCTCTATCTAAATACTTCCCTAACCAGCATTGTATCTGCACATCTAGGGAACATCCCCTGGGTGGGTAGTCACATATCACAAAAAAAAAACTTATACGAAACGCATTTAGGCACTAGTCTAAACTCAGTGACATTCCATAATTTTTCTACTGATATTTCCCATTGTTTGAATCTATTGTCATGCTTTGGTAAGGAGGAATGCTGCTGTCATCGTCGATAACCATTACCATTAAACAGTCTTAAGAGAGTACAAATTCTTTTGTTATTTATTTATTGCCAATATATTCTGTCGGATAACTTAGATCATATGCTCGCTTGTATTGAAAACTCTACCGCACTTGAGTTGTTTGTACAAATTCTCGTTTTCTATACATAGAAATCGATTTAATTATGTTTGTCAATTTGTACGTTTCGCTTATAAGCGATCTTTTTCAACAACAAAGATCGAAAAGTTCTTTTTACAATATAAAAGAGAAAAATCACACGATAATTAATTGTTGATAATTGCTGGCACATGAATATCATGTTGCACGCATGCGTAGTAATCAAGCATAATGCAACTGGAAGATTGTTGCACTAATAACTTTATAGCATGAAATTTAATTTTTTCCGATCTTTTCTAACTTTTTTAATTGCAAAGAGAGACCTTTGAGCTGGTTTGACTAATTTCCGCGCTTAACGGGACGAAAATACCAAGCAAGAAACAAACTAAATGCTTTAGATAAGATTTTGTTAGTTTGATTGTGTTTTTAGTACAGATGCACTATGATGATCTAATTGCACCCTTCAATAATGCCAATAATTTAAGATGTCTTTAATGCATAATTTCGAACAATACAATGGCTATTGTATGCCATGATCTGTAAACAAAATTATTCTTCCATTGTCCTATTAAATTTAATGCTGTAAACGTCTGTATCCCTGTTAATGATTTTTGGAGCATCTCTTATATGTATACATAAAACTGTTATAAAGAGTTTCTTGCCTCGATGAGTTTACATTTTACAATTTAACATATCTCTGTTAAATGCTTACTTCATTCGTTTTTATTGATTTGACCAAAATATTCTAATTGGAATTTTTTCCACTCGTTTTAACATTAAAAAGCAATAAAACGCTGACGAAGAAAAAGAATAAATGAAAGAAAAGATATATCCAGATTTGTTTAAATAGACATCATCAGTACATAAATGGGCTTAACTCAACTCCCTTTCTTTGTGTGTAATTGTAGGTTTTTCATATCGATGTTTGGTTGATATAAAAGTTTCATCTCAATAGGAGATAAGACGAGCATTAAGCGAAACAAAGGCACTTGCTTGCATTGAAGGAGAGCGGAGAATATTTGCTACAGACAATATTTGTGAGACAATCGATCTCTATAAAACGACAGTCAGTAAATATAATACCATCTATTGATGGCAGTGGGGTCAAAATGTCAAAATTGCAACAATCAACCATACCCATGCAACACCAATTGGGCGAATTATAGCCATCGGCAAGCAGGCAGCAATAAAGGTTGTGAGTAATATTTGATTCTTCATCGTCTTCGTCTTCTTCTTTTTTTTTTCCTTTTTTTTTTTTTTTTTTGGTAATTCTCTGCTGTCGATCGGTAATGAAGGTGTAGTTAAACTAACACTAGCATTGCTTATGTGCAGGTTTGGGCGAATGTTGCGCATTGAAAAGTTTACAATATCGTGACAAGATTATTTCAATGATAGCAGACATAACGTTATGCTAACTTCTTCTTCTTGTTTATATTTTTGTTTTACGTTTTTTTTTTTTGTTTCTTCGTGGTTTTCTCATTTAATTTTTATAGCATTATATTGCACACATTGAGATCTTGTTTGTTTGATTCTACTTTAAAGTGTTGTAATAAAGTAATATTTTTGTGTTGTAGCATCACATTATCGAGGCGAGAGATAAAAGCAGAAAGAGCTTAAATTTATTGATGTTGGTAGTGGTTTGATGTTAATGTTTAATCCCTTGCAGCATAAATGTGTCAATTTGTTTTGATATTTGTTGACTTTAAAATGAGTGTAATTTTAAAAATTATTGACAAGTTTGTTGCTTAAGTCTTTTATTTGATTTAATTTTT